TTGGGTTTCCCCATAAAGTCAATTTGGCATGGGAAAAAGGGTCAAATCTTTTTTTATTAGATATTCCATTCCATAGCTTTCTAACTGATGAAATTGTTTCCAGTGATATTAGAGTTTTAGTATATTTAGATCCTAATACTGTCCATCCAACCAAAGATGCTATATATGTATATTCCAAAGTTGCCCAAATTGGAAAATTAACACCAATTGTTGGCTTCCAGTATTTAATTCTTGACAATCGGTAAGGATGATGATATAGCTTCAGATATGGAAAACCAAATGATGCTATATATGTATATTCCAAAGTTGCCCAAATTGGAAAATTAACACCAATTGTTGGCTTCCAGTATTTAATTCTTGACAATCGGTAAGGATGATGATATAGCTTCAGATATGGAAAACCAAATCCTCCTTCATTAATTGGTAATTCCATTTTCTGTAAAGATGTTCTCAGAATTGAAGAACCCCATAGACATTTTCTAAACAAAGATTTTATTTTCTGAAAATATTTTCCAGATATAAGTTGAAGCCCACATACTTTATATTTTATTTGTGAATTATTACTGGCATTTCTGGAGCACTGATATCTGTTTTTATTTAATAAATTACAATGTCACATCTTTTTATTTTGCATGTAATATGACAGCCAAGAATCACCGTACATGGCTGGTGCTTCTGATATAAATTTGAGTTGCTCACTCTTCGTCATTAGCAGTTTTGCATAGCTTCAGTAAACAGCAAAGCTGTCATGCACTGAAACACATTCATTATGGGGAGAAATGCATCCCTTATTTCTAGACCATCAGATCATTATAGAAAATGAAAACAAATGGGAAAACTTGATCGAAATGAACAATAAATTGTTACTATAAAATTCAACAAGCTCATGCATGTATTCTTGATGGTGTGACTATCATGCATATTCTGACAATATGCAGTTTATGCCAACTGCAGTGAATGCTTTCAGAGGAAATCAGAAATAGAATTCACATGAACCAGTCTTGAAATTAAACCATCTGTAAATGGATGGACTGATCCCTGAAATAAATGTGTACTTGCCATTCATACAAAAATTGAAGAGATAGAGATACTTCCTCTAGTAAAATCCAGTTGATAATCTTTGTCTCCCCCAAGCTCATGTCATCTGTACTTGTCCCTTGCCATCCCAATAGCTCTGTACTTTCTGAAGAAGGATATCACTGTTTTTATTTATTTTATTTACCAGCAGAAACTCCACTTAAAAAAACCCTCCTTGTTTACATTAATCAAAGCCACCAAAACAGTTCCAATTCCATTCTCAGACACCAACATTTACTATATATATTTATGGTAGTCCTTCAGGTTTGAAGAAGACATGCTGTTGTGCAGTTCATCTGTGGACACAGAGGTGGCTCTGCAGTCCCTGTCTGGAAGTGCAGAGTCTACTACAATGGGGGCACTGGAAGTCCATTGTTGTAGTAACTGTGGGTGTTATTCTGTGACACCACTCATGGTTTTCTATCAGTTTTTGGTGGTGCCTGTCTTTGAAGCTGGTGGAGGCTTCATAGCACAAGGCTCACCAGCGGGTTCTGTCAGCAGCCACAGCTTCTAGTTCCCTTGGCTGGATGTCACAGTGGCATAGGGTTTCTTTCACAGTGTTTTGATAGTGCTTGGGTGGTTGACCTCGAGGTCTCTTCCCAGACACCAGTACACTTTAGAGCAACTGGCAAGGCATACAGTGGTCATCCATTCTGATGACATGTCCCACCCACCGCATCTGGGCTCTGATAATCAGGGACTCAATGCTGGTGGACTCGGTGTGATCCAAGATTCCAGTTTGGAGACGTGGTTGGATGGAGTAGAGAGTGTGCATGTGAAATTTCTCCAGTTGTTTGATGTGCCTTCAGTACAGAGTCCAGGACTCACATCCATATAGAAGAGAAGGGATAACCACAGCTCTGTAGACTTTTAGCTTTGTGGAGATACGGATGTTGAATTGATTGAGCACTCTAGTACGCAACCACCCCAGTGCCTGGCTGGCCTTGCTGATCCTGGAGTCAATTTCTTTGTCCAAAGACGCATTGCTCGATATGTTTATATGGCATATCATATTGAACTAACATTTTTCTTAGGAAAAAAAACACTACACTACATGCCTGAACATTTGGCTATATAGGCTAAGTTCATAACCATGTCACTGTAGCCACTTTTAAAAATGCTATGTGCCATAGTTTTGATGCAGAAAAATGCCACTGTGACAATCCTGCTCTGCCCATAGATCCATCAAGTTTCAATAGCCCATAGGAAGTACAAAAATACACCTGTCTTAATAACTCAAAGAGAAAAAAGATGGGGCACCTAAGTACTGTCAGTCAATGCTTTCCCAATTCCTGGGGGTTTAATAGCATTTCAGCTGCAGTGGCATAGGTCAGTTGCTCTGGCAGCTATAGGTAAGTCAA